GTATATGTATATATGTATATATATATATATATATATATATATATATATATATATATATATATATATGTGTATGTGTATATATGTTAGATTATATAATTTTAAAGGTATTTTATTAACCAAAAAGTGACTTAAATACAGAACATTATTTTATTTATTATTATTTATTTTTATATAAATTAAATAGAAGGAAAAAAACAGATGTAAACACCTTGATTCTCTCAGCAAAATGTAGTTTAGCACGTTTTATAGAACAAGTGATTAAAAATTAGGGGCTTCGCTTAAACAATTATTAACTCTTTATAAGAGTCGAGGCTAATTATAGACTTTGGCTGGGAAATGTTGTAATTTTCTACTGGAATAAACTCTAAAAGGCTAACATTAGTAGTTTCTATCATGTTGTGTTGTTGTCTGTTGTAAATGTAGTCAACGGCTGCGTCCCAACGTCCCTTCTAACCCCTACGAACTGACCGTTCCGAAAGATGATCACTACTTTTCGGTCCCCGATATGCAACTCCGCCTCCCCCCTGCGCCATCTTTGTTTTTTTATTGCCACTGTTCTGTCTGATGAGCTTACCCGGTCAGACCAGCATACCCATAGCCGGTACCCGTTTATCCCTTTAGTTCTGTACGAAAAATACTATGTAAACTACCTCAACGGGCGTGTTTCCCTTTAATCATGTACAAAAAAAAAATTATAACTTTCTTTTGTTTTTTTTAAAGCGTATGGCGATCTAACGTTTAATAGTTTTTTTTGTACATGACTAAAGGGATACATGCCCATCGAGCTAAACTAAAGTGAAATCAGAATCAAATCAGTCGAAAATGAACGACTGTTTAAAGTGACAGTGAGGCATCATTTAGTCGTAACTCATCGTTCTAATATATGTGAGAAAATATTTTGATGCTGATGCTAATGGCTAACATCCTCAGTTAGAAAATGGAGTTCATTGTAGCATAGCACTATATCTGGGTTAGCATCTCCTAGCATCTCTGCTCCCTTCCTCTGTTTGGTTCTCTTTATCTTCATCACCTCTTGTGATTTCTACATCATCATCAATATCCACTGAAAAGGTTTAACGTTACTGATGTTTTAGCAGGACACAGCTAGCGCTTCAGGACCTAGCATAATTCATTTAGCCAGAATGCACTGCAGAGTAAACAACATGGCGACTTCCATGTCAGAATATTTACACCACTCTCCGATGGTTGACCATAAGCCTTCCTCTTCCAGCCGGAGCTCCATCTACCACAGCGTTGAAGGTCCCCTCACCTATGTCCTCAACGGGGAGCTGATCACCGAGCCGCGCCCTCTACCTCCGCCCCCCATCCTGCCCCCGCTGCCTCCACAGCCCCTGGCCACCCACACCTCCCAGGCCTCCTTCGTCTCGGCCCTGGCTATGGAGGAGGAAAGCTCTGTGGAGACGGAGAAGACGGCTGAGCCCGGCCCGGTCACCTGCCAGCCCCACGTTATGGCGTGCTACCAGAACTACCTGGGCCATTATCAGGTATTGTCTCCTTTCCAATGTTTGCGATGTTCTTTGGCATGTTGTCTGAAACTGGGTTGTTGTTTTTTTCTCTGCGTCAGGTTTCAAACTGGTCCGTCAAGCAGCCGACCAATAAGAGGACTTCTAAATCCTCCCTGCATCGACCTCTGGATCTGGACACGCCCACAAGTGAAGAGAGCTCCGCCTCCTTTGACCAGCTGTCGGTTCCCACCTTTAAGGTCTGACTTCAGTCCAGACCCGTTTGTTGCTCCAGCAGCAACAGGCGGGTTCTACTGGTTCCTTTGGTTACTTAGGTTCCTTTGGTTTCTCTGGTTCCTTTGGATCCACTGGTTCCAATGGTGACTCTGGTTCCACTGGTTTCTCTGGTTCCTTTGGTTACTTAGGTTCCTTTGGTTTCTCTGGTTCCTTTGGATCCACTGGTTCCAATGGTGACTCTGGTTCCTCTGGTTCCACTGGTTTCTCTGGTTCCATTGGTTCCACTAGTTCCTCTGGTCCCGCTGGTTCCACTAGTTCCTCTGGTCCCACTGGTTCCTCTGGGTCCTCCGGGTCCTTTGGTTCCACTGGTTCGTCTTGTTCCTCTGGTCCCACTGGTTCTACTGTCCCTCGTGTTTCTCGACCAACTGCCATCAGGTTCTGCTGGACATGACTGACGGGAAAATGAGGGGTACTTTTGGGTCCACTGTGCATCAGTCAGGGACAGAACGGAGGTCCAGTTTTCAGAACCTTGGTTCTATAGAACCAAACTGCTTCTTTTTACTGATTCTGGTCATAAAGACTCAAAGTTCTAGATTCCAGCAGCCTGAAGGAAAAAGTTTTGATCCAAAACTGTGGTTCTGCTCAGCACTGCCCTCTGGTTCTGGTTATGCTGAGGTGTTTTCTCTTTTTGCATATTTTGGTTCTGCTTCCTCTCACCTTCGTCCATCACCATGGTGAAAGGGCAGGTTTCGGTTCTGTTAGCATTGCTAGCCAGTTTGTTGTGTCCAACATGGCCGACTCAGAGGTCCCTCTTTTCTACAGGTGATAAAGCCGGGCCTCTCAGCCAGCTCCCTGCTCGACCGAGGACTTCAGCTGATGGGTGAAAACAGCAGGTATGAGCGCCACACGTCTCCTCCTCTGATGTCAGCCGTATGGTCAATGATCCTTTTAACCTGTGAAAAACAAATGGAAATAAAAAAGAAACATACAATTCAGAAGTGAAATTTAAAAAAAAGGTTTATCGAGTAACTTTTTTTCTCTTAATTTTCTATTTCGTTCTTGTATTTCTTTTTTTTTTTCATTTTCAAATTTCTGTTTTTCAGATATAAGAATTTAGAAAAATATTTGAAAAATGGAAGTATAAAATATGAAAAATATTTTTGAATAAACAAAATTTTTCTTAAATAAAATTGGAGAAAACGGAAAATTAACTGTGGGTGGCGTGAGAAAGAAAAGAAAATTTTAAATGGATGAAAAAAAAAAGATCTCTCTTTATAAAGAGTCACCGCGCTTATCAAAAGTTTGATGTTTCAGATTCGACTGGGGACCAGGAACTGAAGTAATCTATTACAATTACCGTATTTTTCTGACTATACGTCGCTCTGGAGTTTTAAGTCACATCAGCCAAAAATGTATTATGAAGATGAAAAGAATATATATATTTATATTTATTAATATTTTATCAAATAAAATCATCTCCAAAGATAGGTATGGAAGTAAAAACGGTCCTCTAGTGAAGAAGAAAAAAATAAGAACATCGGAGAAAAAAAACAGGCAGAAAGTGGATAACTGTTAGTGTAAATAGCACGCAAAAATAAACCAGACCCTACCAGATAGAACCAAACCACGCTAACATGTTATCAGTTTTCAGATAACAAAGAGCGCGTAAGCAGACCGCGTCATCTCCTTACAGTCAGCCTCCATAATCCGGAAATTTCAGACATTAATAAAAATCCTAGCTTCCTACCGTGCCGCACGATTTCCAGTGATGATTCTGTTTAGCAGTGTGATGAACCTAAACGTCTGTCGTTGTTTCCTGCGTCTCTAAGCCCTGATTAGACTATCGTTTGTCGTATCCACTTCCCAATAGCAAAATCTGTCAGGTTAATTCACCAGAGGCTGCCTTCTTCACCTGACTCTCCGCAAACAACGAAATATCACAATTATAACAAAACCACACTTTCTGAATGTTACAGGTGCTACCATGTTGGTTTACTTGTTTACCTCTAGAGAGCAGTAGTACCGTAGATAACCACTAGGGGGGCGAGTAGCCACGCCACATGGTGTGTAATGGTCATAAGGAACCAAGCTTGGCGCAGTTAACTGATCGAGGCTCGGTCCGAACTCGTACTGATCGGTTTCCAGAGGGTAGCGTAAAAATGGGCATTCAAGGACCTTCAACTGAAGGAAAAAGAAAATCCATCTTAAATTTGAGCACCTTTGCTTACGGGGTAAAAAAAAAAAAAAAAAACCTTCAACTTCCTCCTAAACCAGGCTCCTGATTGGTGAACGCTGTATTTCCTGCTCAGTAGAAACCAGTGTGATGTAGCGCTCTGGTTTGGTTTTGTCCTGCGCAGCACTCCATACACCCCCCTGGATAAGAGGGCCATGGAGAACACTGACGAGGACACCGCCACAGACGACTGGTCTCTGGAGCAGCCGCTGGCCCAGACCAGAACCACGGCCATCGTGGAGGTGAAGGGGGCCGTCAATGTGGTTCTGACCCCCCTGGTGGCCGAGTCCCTGGACAGGTGAGAAGCGGCGCCTAATCTTCCTGCTCCGTCGTGCTGAGCGGAGTGACAGACTCCATCCCTGTATTTCAGATACATCGAGTCCATGGTCCACTTCGCCAGCATCCGGCATCCGGCAGCGATTCTGGACGACCTCCATGAGAAGGTTCTGAACGAGGCCTATCAGATCAGCAAGTCCACGGTCACCGAGTCGGTAAGAACGCCGCCTGATTGGAAGACAAACCGACTGCTTTGTTTGGGAAAGTGTGTGAGGATCTGACCGATGTTCACAGAGCCAGCAGGCGCTCAAGCAGGAGCAGAAGCTCTCCAAGACCGAGGCAGCCAATGGGCAGACTGAGCTGTCCATCAAACCCGACAACGTGAAAATAAAGGGCCTCCAAGCCAACGTCTCCATCCCTAAGGTCAGACCTGTGGCTGAAACCGGTTCTGGCCACCAGAGATTTCAGCTCCTGTCCAGAACCTCAATGTGAAGCTGCTCTGTGTTTCTGTACAGGTGAACCTGTGCCTCCTGCAGGCGTCTGTGGAGGAAGTCTCGCCTTCCTGCTCCTCTAAATGCATCCCTCATGTGTCTCTGGTGGCGCTGTGCTTTGACCGGATCGCCACCCAGTTCAGGATGAACAGGTGAACTATGCTCAGGTCGTTGGATCCCAGTGCCGGACGGCCAAAGGAACCCGCCGGTGCTGAAAACTTCTTCTGTCCTTTCAGGGGGATCGTAGAGGAGACGCCGAACACCACCGAACACGGCCGACCCTCCGTCATGCTGGAGAAGTACGCCTCGGCCACCAAAATGCAGCCGCAGTCGTCCGGGTCGCTGCGTTCCAACGCCGGCATCGAGAAGGGCAAAGAGATCGCAGCCAGACTCAACATCCACAGGATCCACAGCCAGCTGCGAGGCCTCGACTCCACAGGTTGGTTCTCAGGGTCCGGGCCCGGCGCCACACTAGAACCCGGCCTGGTTCTGACCACTCTGTCCCCCCGCAGATATCGGGACGTTCGCCATCACAGCCATCCCCTTTGAGAAGTCAAAGGTTCTTTTTGGTCTGGAGGACATGGAGGAGTTCTCCTTGGTGGACGAAACCGACACTCAGGCGGCTCAGGGTGACCCGGCCCGATCCGCTGCGTCCCTGGAGAAATGGGGCTGGATCATGTTTGAGTGCGGCATTGAGAACCTCACCGTCAAAGGTAAGCTGCCTGCAACCCGCCACGTTGGAGCGGAACGGAGCACCGCGCTGATGCTGCCGCTCTTCTTCTGTCACAGGGGGCCGCCAGTCCGGAGCCGTCCTCTATAACGCCTTCGGAGTGATGGGCCACTCGGATCCCACCGGGAAGAACGGGACCACCAAGTCCAACGGCTCCACCGGCTCTCAGACGGGAAGCGGATACAGCACCGACGTCTCCGATGACAACCTGCCGCACGACGTGCTCGGCCCCAACTCAGACGCCAACGAGCACTCGGACTCAGATGAGCAGGTCAGACGCCTTAAAACGGAAAATAATGGTTCAACGTCGTTGAAAAGAACAGATATAAATAAAAACAAGGTCCATATTAGATTAATACTCCAGAGGAGATTATACTTCACTTTTCCACTGTATTTAGTTTGATCTGAATAAATGCGAATATAAACTTGAAATACGTGAATCATGTTTGGATGAATCAAATTCTTCAGTTTCTGGAGCCTCAGTCCATTACAGAAAATACAATAAAATAGAAATGTCTAAAGGGGACCTTATTTTTCCCAAATGGTACGAGAAAAAAAAAAAAACTTAGATTTTCTGATTTTAGGTAACGTTAGTCTCCAAAAATGCGAGCATTACCAGTAGCGCTCTCAGGCAGCCAGCCAGATCATAGCAATGGTAATAGGATAACAATTGATATTAATTTAGCTGTTTTCCCACTTTGGGGAAAAAAAACATAATAAATACACTTCAAAAATACTTAAACTTCAAACCAAGCTTTGAAAAACATTCCAGAGTAAAATGGTTGGAGTATACTACCAACCGCGGGTTTAACTGCTCCCATACATAGTTGATTAATCAATCATTCTCGCTGAGAAGCTGCTTCTTGTGGAAGTCTGTACACTGCCGGTACATTCTGGAACGCCGACTGCGTGCTCCGACATTCTTCTTGCTTTCAACATACTTGGCGATATCTCGAGCTAGCTTCGTCTCTAGCATATGTTTGTTGCTAGCTGCACCTTTACATGGGCAAAGAAATTCAAATCATGACGTGTTTCCACTGAGGTTGGTGGGTGTTTCTAGAGCTCCTATTACGTGTTATTGCACCTTGGCTCAAGATACACGATTAAGTGTTCCTTCCTTGGCTATGCTTTGCACACATAACAATGACACTAGCCAAACCAGTTAAGAAACAAAAATAATTCTCAGCAGCTGCACCTCTTACAAAAATAAGTCTGAAACTCAAAAGTGCACAGAATTATTCAATCACACAGTGTTCTGAAAGTGCATTTTCCTCTATTCTGCACTTTAGATGAATGACTGCTTAGGTGCCACTGGTGGTAGCACTGTATCGATACTTTTAAAAACGAGTATTGCATCCGGATACAACGTTTCAGTATCAATGCTTTTTTGAGTATCGATACTTTTGACAACCCTACTTCGTAGACACTTTTTCTCTTACGACCCTCGGCCATTTTCAAAGAACCGCGGTGAGAAAGGTGAGCTTCAATGACTCTCTCACACCGTAGCTCCCCACAGATATACGCCTGAAAGTGCACAGAAAATGATAGCTAATGGGACACGTAGGACCGCCTTACGTAAACATATCACCAGAATGATTGATGGTTAGGAGAACCACTTATTGAGATGATCCACCCGGAAAAAGAAAATCCTCCACTATACCTTTAATATATATGCAGAGAGGAGGTGACATAAAGTATAGTTTATTTTTTATTTTTTATTATTATTGTTCTTTAGGCATGCCAAGCTACCTCTATTCATCAACAATAAGGTAAAAGCGATTTTGAAGTGTAGGACTCCTTTAATGACAGCAGGCGCTGAACAAAAGGGATGGTTGGTTGAAATAATTGAAAACATTCACACGCTTTATTTTCTGCTCTGCAGGATGAAGGAGTGGAGTCAGACGACCTGAAGAAAGACCTTCCCCTCATGCCTCCGCCGCCAGACTCCAGCAGCATGAAGCTGACCATCAGGGAGATCTGGTTCAGCTTTGCTGCTCCCACCAACGTGCGCTCAGCATCTCAGACCATCTCCAGGTCAGCAACTAAACAATTATTACATTTTTTATCCTCCTGCATCCCTGAGATAAACGGAATCGAATGCTAACCGGCGGGGTGAGTAAGCTGCCTTGTTTTCTGTTGTGTGTTCAGACAGTTGAACCTGCTCAGCACGGCGACGCCAGCCATCGGAGCCTGGCTGGTTCCCATCGACCAGCTGAAATCCTCCCTGCGTAAGCTGGACATGGAGGCCACGCTGCGAGTCTGCGCCGTCATGGGCTGCATCATGACCGAGGCTCTGGAGGTGGGCGGGATCCACTCCCTCTGGGGTTCCCTCTGCTTCACGCTGCCGCTTTTTAAAACTCCTTTTTATTCTCCAACAGAAAAAGAGCATCCACATCCCGATCCGCAGCAAGTATAACCGAGTCACGAAGCGGGCTCGCTACCTGCACGAGAACCCCTCCTGCATGCTGTGCAACATCCTGCACCGCTATCTGCAGCAGGCGGACTACTCCGTTATCGAGGAGGCCACCATGGTGAGTGGAAGCGACCAGAGCTGCGGCGCTGGGGGCAACCAGGGTTTTTAAACTGTTCTTGTTTATGCTCCTCTGACCCAGAACGACGGAGTTCCTGCCCTGGTCACCCTGAAGAAGGGTCTGGTTGCTTTGGCCAGACAGTGGATGAAATTCATCGTTGTAACTCAGGGCTTTAAGGCCATTGGTCTGATGGGTCCCAACCAGCTGATCAAAGCCAAAGAGGCCCAGCAGAACCGGGCCGATGCAGTTCTGGGTCTGGATAATGGAGCCGCGCTGCAGAGCGACACCAGCGCTGACGGAGCGGAGTTTGAATTTGACGCAGGTGGGGACATTGGGCTTCTGTTGAATTAGTTATCCTAACAGCTCTAAAACCTCCTGGCCAGTAAGTGGTGCTCTTCTGCTCATCTGCTCTCGTTCTGTACCGTATGCTAATTCTAATGCTAACCAAAAAAAAACATTTCACCTAGCAGCTGAGAGAAAAAAGCAGCAGCTCTCTGCATTCTTTTACTCCCGTAAAGTGGCGCTGCGTAACTTTAGATCCAATTATTAGCTTCATTTAAGATATTTTAAAAGATGTTTCAGGTCAATCTACTGCTAAATGCTAGCATGTTTTCTTCTATCCTGTTCTATCTACTGTACTAACTGCTAGCATGTCTTCTGTTGTGTTCCATCGACCATGCTAACTGGTAGCATGTCTTATTCTGTTTTGTTCCATCGACCATGCTAACTGCTAGCATGTCTTCTTCTATTCTGTTCCATCTACCATGCTAACTGCTAGCATGTCTTCTTCTATCCTGTTCCATCTACCATGCTAACTGCTAGCATGTCTTATT